GAGATCTATTTTGGCTAATGTTAACTAATGTTAATTAAGATTTTCTAAATTATGGAGATCTTCTTATGTACTTGTATTTGTTGAAGTTGCATGTATTGGGCACTATTATTTTTCTTCTGTTGGGTGATAGAGTGTAAACCAAGCTACATTTGCAAATTAAACCCAATTCTATTAGCAGGTAATAGAAACAAAACAATTGTCAATTTTTTTTAAGATTCATAATATACATAGCAAAAATATGCTCCAATTAACCCATATCATGAGATTTGTAGCATTACTCTATTACACAATGGCAAAAATTTGTAATCCTAGTCTAAGCAAACACAAATCTGGTGAACAGCACTGTTTTTCTTATCATGCTTCTTAGTCCGACATTACACCAGACGCTTCACTAAATTAGTCCAGCTTAGTCCAGTCTAAGCCAGTCCAGCTTAGTCCCGGCAGCTAGTCCAGTCCGAGACAGTCCGGCGCAACAAACGCACCCTAATAGTTTATTCAAAGAACAAGCACAGCAACTTAAATGATAAACTTAAACAATCAAATGAGTCGATTTCTTCGAGAATATGCGTAATTAGCTTTTGCTAGACTCATCCACACACAACACCACCTCTTCACCTTTCTCGAATTTCGGACTCCGATTCCTCGCCGGAATTCTCAACGAAACCGTAGTGGAAAACCTAATCAAAATTGGGTGAAACACTAATAAAAAACGTACATTTTTTTATTTTCTTAGCAAACATTTGAAGACTAAAGAAGAATAATATCAAGTTATTAACAATTTGATTACTTACTATGCCGTCTTTGGACCGCACATCTTCGGCTATGAATTTGATGCCGGAATCGGCAACGACGATGACGCCTGTATTGGCAGGTTGACCACTGCCTTGCGGATGGAAAAATCGTCCGCTTCCCTTGCAGGTTCTCTCGGGAAAGAAACATAACAGAAAGGAAAGGACTGAAGAGTGTGAAGTGAAAAGCAACTGATTGCTAATCTAACATCTAATCTAACAAAATATATTGTTTCGCAAAAATATAAAATAAAATAAAAGTTTAAATATTGATATTGGTAGAAATATCGACATACAAATTTGTAGGAATATCGACGCATATATTGAATACATCACAAATTTGTATATCGAATATCTATATAGATATCAGTTGCATTCTATAGATATTATGGAAATTTAAAGTCAAACTTGGGATTGTCAAACATGGATTTGTACAAAATATAAAAGTTTCTCCAATATATAAAAAGATGGGTCAGAAATATCAATGATATTTGTCGATTTTTAACCTAAACTAAAGAGTTTTTCCGATATGAGGTGAAGTTTAGACTTCACCACCCATTTTCATATATGTCTTTGATCTTTTAGATATTTTATGGAAATATCGACTACATCGAATAAATTTTAAACACAGATAATATGTACTTAGTTAAAATAATTTCCATGTAAATTTTAAGGCCAATAAAAAGATATTTTAAGGCTTTTTTTAGTAGCTTCAATAAATGAGTGTGATACTAATATATTAAATTTTTACATAAATTTATTTTTATAAGACCATTTTCAACTATTGGAGTAAAACCTACAATTTTTAACCCATAAAATTTAAGTTTTGACCCAGAAATAACTTTTCTGCTCCAACTCTTCTAACCTAAAATTTTAATCCCAGATTATTAAAGAATGAATCTCACCCATTAGATTTGAAGGAGATGGAAATCTATGCCGTCTGATAGAATTAAAGGAGATGGGATTGCACATTGGTGGCCGACAACCCCATTAGGTTGGGCCCCACTTCCCCTCAAAGTGTCCCATTTTCCTTGCTTTTTGGCGCGCTGCCATGCTTTTAGTGCATTAACTAGCACGCTTTCTCTTTTTTCACAGCGCGTCTACAAGCACAGTGGGCCAGGATATTTAGCCCATGCTGGTTTCTTGGCTGGTGTACAAGTTATTTTATTTTATTTTATTTTAGTTCTAGCACTTAACCCAATTTTAGAACAAGGGTTGGAATGAAATGGGGGGAGTATAAGGGAAATTTTAGAACTTACTCCTAAGGTCGGAGTTGGTCTAATAAGCCAGAAAATTTGAGGTGATACAAATTTATTGTACTCTAATAAACTTATGAGTGTCATACCGATATTGAACTAACAATAGCTCAAACTCAGGCGGCATGTTTCATATTACCTATATATGTGTATCACACACACTCAAACTACTATGAAATACCTAATGAGAAAGAAGGCACACTGTGATTTATTCTTCCAATATCTCTCTTATCTCTCTTATCTCTCTTTCGTTCTCTTTCTCTATATTTTATTTCTAATACTTTATCAGTACGAGACGCTATTGATTTCAACGTCAAACTAAAGAGACAAAATTGACTTTGAATTCATGTATTTCTTATTGCGTATTTGTGAGCTTAATCAATATCTTATAGTCAAATATTTTGATCAATGACCTAGATATATCTACAATCTACAATTTACATCATTCGCCATTAGAGTAAACTGTCAGTTTACCCCCTGAACTTTCACCTCACTTTCGATTTCCCCCCTGAACTTTTCTATTGGAAAATTAAGGACTCAAACTAATTTTTTTAGCCAATTTGCCCCCTACCGTTAATTTTTCATATATTTCATCCATATTTCCGTTAAGTAGACTATGTGCACAACATGTGAGGGTAGTTAAGTTATTTCACTCTTAAAAATTATTAAAAAACTGAAAATAAAAAAAAAAGGCAAAACTTTCCCTCTATTTTTTCCCGCTAATTCCTATCCTCGATTTTATTTTTCCCTCTCATTCCTATGCATGAGAAATGACATATGGTGTTATTGTCTACCATTTTTATTTTCTCTAACAAATTAATAATTTGACAAATGCTAATGGTGTTATTGTCTCCAAAGCAGTGCATTAATATAAGAAACCTTAATCTTTTTTATGGACATGTTTCTTATATTAATGTACTGCTTTGGAGACAATAACACAATGAGCATTTGTCAAATTATTAATTTGTTAGAGAAAATAATAATGGTAGTACATGCTTCAAGAAAAAGATTAACTTAGCTACTTATGAAGACAATAACACCATATGTTATTTCTCATGCATAGGAATGAGAGGGAAAAATAAAATTGAGGATAGGAATTAGCGGGAAAAAATAGAGGGAAAATTTTTATTATTATTTATTTTCAGTTTTAATCATTTTTAAGAGTGAAATGACTTAACTATCCTCACATGTTATGCACATGGTCTCACTTAACGGAAATATGGATGGAATATATGAAAAACTAATGGTAGGGGGCAAATTGGCTAAAAAAATTAGTTTGAGTCCTTAATTTTCCAATAGAAAAGTTCAGGGGGGAAATCGAAAGTGATGTGAAAGTTCAGGGGGTAAACCGACAGTTTACCCTTCGTCATTATTATTTATTTCTTAAATAATCCAATCTATTTTACACTTTATATACTACCAATTTATGGTTAAGCATGACAATAATTGCTTGTTTTAATAGTACTTCTAATTATTTTCAAAAGCAACTTGTTGCATATTTCAAATTTCAAATTATTTTATGCATGAATTTTATCCATTTCAAAAGGTTTTACTAGGGGTGGTTCGGTATGGGATACCAAATCGAAATCCATGTCCCGATTTCCAAATCGAACTTTTTGGGAATCCCAAATCGAATACCGATCCCAAACCAATTTTTAGGGAATCTCAATTTTCGGGAATCCGGAAATAATTTCTAGATTTCGGGACAAATCGGGAATCCCGAAATGATTTTGGGCTTTTGGACTAAAATTCAACCTTTTATATTGGGTTGTCAATCTGTTGCAGACTAAATTTTCTTAATAAATTTCATAGGCCATTGTAAGTTACAAGTATACAACCAAACCAATCTGTTGCAATAAAAATAAATTTAATCTGTGCATAGATTAAATTTCATGGAGGGCTTGAGCATCAAAATTCCCATTAGTCATTAGCGTGCATTTCACTCCTCCTTCCCCTCCTTATCTGTCCTAGTCATTTACAATGCCAAACTTTTTCGTGTTTCCCATGCACACACAGACACACATATATACATTCACACCAGGAAGGATAAATCATACGCAATTTATATGCAACGGTTGAGATTAAATCTCAACAGAATCCAACGGCTATTAAAATTCTAAATATATATTTAAAAATTAAATAATATATATTTTTTTTCAGTTCGGTTTGGGATTACCGAAATCCCAAAAACTTGAGACCGATTCCCATACCAAAATTTCAGGATCGGTTTGGTATTGGGCACCGAAATTTTCGAGAATTTAGGTTTGGGATTTTTTCAGTTTGGTTTCGGGAATTTTTCGGTTCGGTTTGGGATTTTTGGGATTTTTTTTCCAGCCGTAGGTTTTACAGTGTGTTAACCTTTTATGTTTATTTTTATATGTATTTGTCATATTAAAGGTCGATGAACACAAAATAATTGGACGAGTCTTGTTTATAAGATTAAAGTATAGTCATTTTCTAAAACTAAACCTTTTTTTTTATATATATACTTTTTAGCTAACCAACCAGAGTTAAATTTGCTGGCTCTGCCTTGAAGATACATCTATAAAAAGTGTATTACTTATAAAGTATGCTAGTGTTGGAGTGTGACACAGTTTAACCTCGTAATTCATATTAATTCGAATTTAAAATAATTTTCAATATTGAATAGCCAAACACCATTACCCTCCTATATGAAGTAATTTTTCTTAGTTGGTAGTAGGGCAAAAGATTCTGTATTAGCATGAAACAAATCCAATACCGATTTAGCCAAGTTAACTGGTTATTAATAACAAATCCAAGTATTTAAAACTCTATAACCTCTTTTGACCCAAAAAAAAAACACAAATCCAAGTTGTATTAGTAACAAATCCAATTCCGATTTGGCGTCGGTTGCTTCTTGTCCTCTTCCTACAAGGATAAAGACTGCATCTGTTTGACTATATATAATCGCACGCAACGTTGTTTAATTGCTTCTTGTACCGTCAGCAAAGCAAACTGATTTCGTTTTCTCCTTCCCAAGTTCTCCATGGTTCGCTCTTTTGTTCTTATTCCAGGCATCGTCAACGGCGCCTCTCGCAGGATCAAGAAGAAGAACAAGAAGAAACCTCGAAACGCCTCCTCGTCCATTCAATCTCTTCCGAACGAGGTTCTGGTCCAAGTACTCGCGAAGGTCGCTTCGCGCTCCTTCGATGATCTTTATTCAGCCATGTTAAGCTGCAAGGATTTCAACGAAAGTGCTCAAGATGATCACATATTCGAGCACGTCGACATTAGCAAGTTCCCGCTGGTTTCTTGGCGCGCAAGTGAAAAACACACGAGGTTTCTGATGCGGTGCAGGGATCTCGGCAATTCGGAGGCCTTGTACAGGCAAGGGATGCGCGACCTCTTCACAAGCAAGAGGATAGAACCTGCGGGGGTCGAGTCTCTGAAGAGGGCAGCCTCAAAGGGTCACGTAGAAGCAACGTACGTGTACGGAGCGATCTTGGTGTGTTGCGGGGGCGATTCAAGGCAGAAAGGACTTGAGCTTCTGTACTCACTCAACCGCCACAAATCGAGAGGGTTAAGCGTGACAGAATGCCGAGAGAGGATTAAGGAATTGATTTGGAACACAATGTGGGTGAATAGGGAAGTAATAGGTAGAATTGTAGAAGCACACGATGAGAACGCTGCCATGAAAGCATGCAACGACTGTGGAGATCCACAAGGTCCGTACACAATCGAACAAGGATGGGATTTCGATGACCATGATAAATTCAGTAGCTGTAATTCGTGCAGATGGCATCAGGAAGTAAATATATTTTGTGATATATTAAGTCGTAGTCGTGCAAATTATGATTAGATAGCACTTGGAATTTTGAGATTTAAGTCTCATCGAATTTGTATTTTGTAAATAATTTCTTTTGTTTATAAAGTGCTTAGTTTCGGATTTTAATTTTAATCACAAGTGCTAGATTCCTTAAATGTACGTTTGCAAACATTCATATTCATGTTTGAAGTTTTCGACAATTGACAACATACATGTCAGATGTAAACTTACGTTGCTTGCTAGCAACCTTTTCGATATTTGAAACCTTGTTTCACAACGGCAAATCCTCGAGATACTTTTCACTTGTAACTGACAGGACATAATCTATGTCAATACTCAGAAGATAGCCATGGGTATAATTTTTGACATATATCATAAGATAATCATGCATTACGAGTGTAAATCATTTCAAGAAACCAGGAATATATTTAAAGTACTCAAATGAGTAGAAGTTTCACTACTTTAACAGTCAAAAGAAGCCCAATTCAACAACACCACAAAACATCGGCAACTACTTGCAAAAAGCAGTACTAATTGAATAAGAAAAGCCCTCTCAACGTCACATTTTACTTCAGAAATTAAACACTTCCATCCCCAAGAACCGAAGGTTCGAGGAAGCAACAAGAATCATTATCTCTTTCTACTGTTGTTTAACTTCAGTTTTCTTCTTCTGCCAGAGTCGGTCCAAACCACCGTCGGCCTCTCCCTGAAAAAAGAAAGCATGCAAAGGAAATCAGAGAAGAGCAAAGGGAAAGCCAAATTGCAAATGACGGATTCAAAATTAAAAACACACGCTAATTAACTTTCAAGTTCCATTGAAAACCTAATCAAACAACCCCTCTGTAACCCAATATCAGAATAATCGAAAAACTTCATACTTAGGTTTAAAATCTCTCGGTAATTGAACAATTTCAAAAACTGTAATTGCAAACTTGCAATTGCATCCTGATGTAATAAAGTAAATCGGAGCTGACAAAAATGATCGTTGTTTTGGCATAGTTTAGGATTTTCAGCCGCCACCAGTCATTCAATGTGTGAGATTTGTACGTTATTTTTCTCATTGCAGGTTTTGAATGAAGCATAGTAATATAGTGAAAACACAAAGCAAATAAGCAAAATCAATGAAACTAATATAATGAAAACAAAAATACAATCAATTTCCGCAACCATTCTGCACATTCTAATCGCACAGTACATTCACAAATGTCCAATAAAAACACAAATATTACCACAATAGCCCCGTAAATGTACGAATGAAGGAAGGCGAACCTGAGCACGGACGTAGCCGCACAGCGCGAAGGTGGAGAATTGGCCGGTGTAGATGCCATGTTCATCCAAATGCCCAACGTTGATCTGAACAGAAGCGTGGTCCTTGGAGGTGATCAGCCTGTTCGTCGCCGAGCTGCATCCACACACAAACACCACTAAATTTAATCCCAAACCCTCAACTCCCAATCCCAAAACCAAAAAATCACAACAAAAAAACGCCGATTAGATTCGATTGAGTACCATTTCCTCGGGATGTAGAGCTCGGTGATGATTCCTTCCTCGTTTTGCATCTTGGCGATCGAGATCACAACCCTAGAAACCAAATCGAATATACACAGAAACGGATCAGAGAATTTTCTCGAATCGGCGGAGATTTTGAAGACTCGGAACGTAAGGAGGAGAGGAGAAATCTATACCTCTGGGGAAGTCGGAGTGGTGGCGGGCAGCTGCTGGAAGTGAAGAGCTCTGCGTTCGTTAGGGTTTTCTAAAATCTGAAGGGGTTTTTGCTTTTATATGAACGGAGGAGTGCGACAGTGATAACTATAAACTGGGCCTATCAGACGAAACCCTATTGGCCCAAAGTTATATGCTGCGGTTGGGCTCGTGTATTGTTCTGGACCCGTTACAGGATTTGGGCTCGGGCTAGACCAGTGACATGAGAGTCCGACACAATGCGTTTAACGGAATTTATACATACTTGAAGGGTTGAAAATCTTAGGCATTGTAATTTAGAAGATGGGTGATGCTATCTACACAGTCTTTGTTATTTCAAAAATCTCTCTTAGTTTTTTGTCGGCAGATCGAATGAATGAAGATGGTTAGCGGACAAAAAACAGAGGGTGTGTGTGGAAAGTAAAAGGGATGTGTGAATAACACTACCCTAGAAGATAGTCGTGTGTACAATGTTGTCTCTCTAAAATTAGGTGGGACAATGGCAGTTCCATTAAGGGACCAGTTGGGTTCTAGTCTCCCATGACCCTAAAATACGGGAAATAACTCGATAAAATGCATGAGACCCAGTAGTACCCACCAAGTACTCGATAAAATGCATGTTCATCATATTTCGACAATGCTCGAAACGTGATACTTGATGGGCCTCGACATCATTGTTCAACATACGTTGGCAAGGCTCGAAAACATAGCTCGACAAAAGTCGATAGGGCCACCAAATTCTTGACAAAATGCCTCAGTGACAGAACTTCGCAATAATAGACAAAACTTGATCCGTTTAAAAAAAGTTTTGAATTTTTACATTATGACTTACGTCCATAACAAGATGGGACCATAAAGTAGAGACGAAAGAAATTGAAATGCACCAGATCCCCTTTTTGTATGTATAGCTGCACATACACGTAATCTAATAGGTGAACACTCAAAATCTGCCTTGTTTTGAAACAAAAAATGGTATATGTTTTTTTAAATTTAGCCAAGTTCATCATTTTGTTGTCAAACCTTACCAATTTGACATTTCAAATGACCATAAACTAGGTATACAATGACCAACATAGATTTCGATTTCAATCCAAAACATAGTGATAAAAAAGTTTTTAACTCTTCACGTTAATTTCTAGTAAGGATAGTTTGAATAAAATTTACCATAGATCGTTGCTTTTCAGTTCCTTATATTTAAGCCTGATATGTAGGCTTGGAAACCTGACATGTAGTTTTTGCCTTTTAAGACTTGGGCTGGAGATTTCCGAACTTATAGAGTGTTGGTTGAGAGATGATAAAGAGATTCGTTAAAAAATGAGACTTTTTATGGACTTTCTGTTACGTCATTTTTTTGGAACAATGTTTTATAATATTGGTATGAAAATTGACGTTAAACTGTGAAGTAACAAGAGTTCATGAAGAGTTCCACTTTAAGAGAATCTCCTTAGTATTTCTCAAACAAGTTTGTTGGCTTCAGTCTTTTGATTTGAATATTTGAATTCAATATTATGGCAATCTCCATTCTTTCTTTCAGTTATTGCAGCAAATCAAACTAATCACTTGACAAATTTTATATATTCTCCAACAACCCAAATTCATTTGAAAATGGTTATATACATCCTTTAAATACGAAATACTTCATCGTTTGACATAAGACGTTTTCAACATATTCCTTCATGTATTTTTTTAACGTCGAAGCATTTATTTTCGTCCTACCGAACACTACATTTATTACGATGATGTTGTTAATTAAAAAGAATATAAATGTGTCTACCAACCCAAATTAAGAAGGAGATTGGGCATTTTTTGCACAATAAGAGGAGTGGTAGGGATGGTTCTTTTGCTTAAGATTGATCTTAGTAAAGTTTATAATCGAGTTGAATGGTGCTTTCTTGAAGCTATGATGGAGAAGTTGGGGCTTGCTAGTGATTAAGATGGTGATGGTGTGTGTTAAATCTGTGTCATATTCTTTTCTAATTAATGAGCAGTCGTGTGGATATTTGATTTTGTCCCAAGGGCTTCGGCAAGGGAACCCATTATCTCCATATCTATTTTTATTATGTGTTGAAGGCCTTTCGGCACTTATTGCACAGAAGGAGCAAGTAGGGGAGTTGAGTGGCATTCGACTATGTGGGAAAGCACCCACGATTCACCACCTTTTGTTTGCAGACAATAGTTTCCTCTTTGGTAGAGCGAATGTGGATGAATGTGCGGTGATTCAACATATTTTAGACATCTACTCTCAAGCTTCTAGTCAATTGGTGAACATTGTTAAGACTAGTGTTGCATTTAGTGCGAATGTGCTTCAATATGATCAACAAATGTTAGTAGGTTTCCTTGGCATTCAGTTGGTGGAACGACACGAGAGATATTTGGGGTTGCCGACATGTGTGGGGAGGAATAAAAAACAAATTTTCTCGTATATCAAGGAGCGAGTGACACAAAGGCTTAACATGTAGAAAAGTAAGCTCCTGAGTAATGTGGGAAAGGAACTTTTTATAAAGGTTGTTGCTCAAACCCTCTCTTCTTATGCGATGAACTGTTTTTTGCTCCCAAAGACATTTTGTGAATAATTACATCAACTTATGGCTCGGTTTTGGTGGGGGAATGGTTCGGAGGATCGAAAAATTCATTGACGGTTGTGGGACAAGATGTGTAAACCCAAAGCTAAAGGTGGGTTGGGGTTTCGTGATCTCTATGCTTTTAATATGACAGTGTTGGCTAAGCAAGGGTGGTGGGTGTTCCACCATCCCTCGTCCTTGGTTGCACAAGTTTTCAAGGCACGGTATTTCCCAAATTCCTCATTTTGGGAAGCGGAAGTCTCTGCATCCTCTTCGTATTGTTGGCAAAGTATTATTAAGGTGAGAAAGGTACTGGTTCGAGGGTCTAGGTGGGTCGTAGGAGATGGTCGGACAATAAGGGTTTGGTTGGATAGGTGGTTACCTCGGCCTAGTACTTTCAAGGTAATCTCGGCACCTTCCCCCGAATGGATTCAAATAAAGGTTGAGGAGTTGATTGATACTTCTATAAGGGTGTGGCGAACTGATTTGTTATTGGACTTTTTTATCCCGGTGGAAGTATCTCTAATTCTATCTCTTCCTATTAGTTTCTGTGCTCCAGAGGATAGGTTGGTGTGGCATTATGATGAGCGGGGTATTTTCTCTGTTAATAGTGGGTGTTGGGTGGCTCGACAATGGCTACAATCCTCTGATAGTAGTTCATCCTCCTCTACCAATGTAAGTTCATATGTGAGACTTTGGAAGCATCTTTGGAAGGCTAACATTCCTCCCAAAGTTAAGAATTTCACTTGGAGGGTGTGCCATGATATTCTTCCAACTAAAGTGAATCTCCGTAAGAAAGGTGTGGGAGTGGAGTTGGCGTGTAAGGTGTGCCAAGGGGAGGAGGAAATTGCAGAACATGTGCTACTTACATGTCCGTTTACTAGAGCGGTGTGGTTTAGTTCTTCGTTCGATCTTTGGTTATCCGGGAGTATTCAAATACCAATTAAGGATTGGCTGCTTGTGGTGCTAGAGAATAAGAGGTGGACTTTGAGTTGGCTTGTTTGATTATGTGGGGCATCTGGCAAGAAAAGAACTCATGGGTGTGGAGGGGTTCCTAAGGATTACCTATGGTTGTGTGGCAGAAGGTTTTTTCTTGGTTATCAGCGTTTCTGTCGGCGAATTGTGAACCTGCTAGGTCAAGAGGAATGCCCACCCCACGATGGTCTCCTTTTAGCCAAGGGTGGGTCAAGATTAATAAGAATGGGGCAGTGAAGGGCCATACTAATATGAGGGGTGTTTGAGTGGTGATACGGGACTGGAGGGGGTTTTGGCTGCCAATGACAGTTTCCAGCTATTACTTTGGTGCCGCTTCTAGAGCTATTTGTCGTGTAGTATGTGTGAAGTAAAAAATAATCAAGAAAATTATGGAAACGACACGTGTACTTTTGGGTGAAAATGACAAAATTACCCTCGATCCACACCGGAACTCTCACGCGCAAGCAACGGACAATCACAACTCAATCAAGATCAAAAGTGATCAAAATAGGTATTTATTCAAAACATATTTCATTCATCCTCATCAAATTCTTCCCACAAGGTAACCCTTAATTATTCATTCAAATTAGGATTAATTAACTAAATTAATTAATTATTTTTCTAATTATTTTCCTAATTGATTGCAAGATATTATTTTGATATAATATCTTGCAATTACACCCAAAAACCACCATAAGTGGCCGGACCCCTTTTCTCCAAATAGGTCCTATTTCTCCCAAAAACCTAAGTCCAACTCTCTTGCAAAATTCTCCAAATTTCTTTAAACACTTTTCCCTCAAATTATAATTTTGGCTTTGGAGGTTCATTTGTAAAATTCATCGTGGGCGTGTGAGGCTCTTAGCCTTGACCAAATGTGTTAATTGTTTTACAGGTGCATTTTCGTCCAAGAAGAAGAAGGCAAAAATTTGCATCCACAAATTGATGCTTTCATTGAGAGTTTAAGTCACATGTTTGTAGAAGACTCTATCATTCAAGGTTTTTCGTTTTCTTGTTCATTTGTAGATTTTTTGTACGTTCTTACTCTTGGAATTTTTATTTATAAAAATTCTTAGATAAAACGTAAAAAAGAAGTACAATGACAAGAGATTCGAAAACCTCGACGAACGAAAATTCCAACGTTCAAAAAATAGGACCACGGCGATCCACAAGACTTAACACGATGATGAGTGGATCGGCACCACCCTCACGAGGCACCACCGTAGCAACCACCAGGGCAGCCACCCTTGGCAAGATCCACGACTTAAGCCATGTTGTTCAAGCCCATACGGGCCCAAGCCCAAGGTGAGCTAGCTCAAGCTGTTCAAGCCCAACACGTTGCCGAGTCGAGCCCTAGCCTTGCACCTATGTGCGCCGCACTCTGAGCAGCTCATTCCTATGGCCCAACCTACTCCCGTGGCTTTCCAAGCAGCCCAAATCGATCCAAGACCGGTTTAACTGTCCTAGCTCCAAATGTTTGGGCCAACGATTGAACCGGGGGTATTTTCACCTCATTTCTTTGTGGATTTGACATTTCCCAACTCAAATCTTGAGCCCGAAGTCTACCACACTTCCACTGCTCAAG